TATGTATTTAATATATAGATTTATGTACCGTAATATATAATTCTCGAAATAAATGTCGGTTATCAGCTCCTCATGTCCGCAGCGAGAGATTTTTTACCTTCTCCGTGGCTGTGGCGTGGTGCCGCCCAACTAGTATAATGTATATAATATAGAGTACAAAGTTTTGTAAGTTGGTCTGGAAACGTCAAGAGACTCCCGACAATGGAGAGGAAGTGGCTGAGGCTGCTGCGTTAAGTCTATTTTCCAGTTGTCCGGCAGTAATAGCGAATACGTGTAACCTGTCTATTGGGCAGGGAAAAAGATGGATTTATTCTCGACCGGCCCAAAACCTAAATGGAATCCGAATGTAAAACCTTTTTAGCATTGCTATTATAATTTAGTTGGGAGCTTTTATTTTTTTATTTTATTTTGTTTTTACTTCTGATGTAAATATATATACTATATATATATATATATATATGTTATATGTATACCTATTGTATATATGTATATTTTGGCTATCCTGTCTATTGGGACTTGTCCGTCTTCGTTTACGCAGGAAAAACAAATATAAAACACTCTCCATTATTCTACTGAACCAAAAAAATAGTGGTAAATAAAATATAAATAACAGAGTTGAAACCTTTTTTTTACGTCCAAAACTTTTCGATTAGCATAAAAAACGCATTAAAATTATTGGAATCGTCACAGTGTGAACAGAAAAAAAATCTCATACAGTCGATTATTTGATTTGTGCATTAACGGATTAAAATCAGAATATTATACTAATATATTTTTTATTATTATTAACGCAGTCTTGTAAAGAGAACCCTCAGGTCATATTATATGCAGAAATCATAATGCTTTAATACAATAATTGTTCATTAGCAATAGTTTTCATAAATATTAAATATGAAATAAATGTACTACGTATTTTTTGAAATTTGAATCAATAAAACCAATCATCAGGGCTGTTTTCCCCGTCGTCTTTTACATATGTATATTTTATGTAATATGTAATGAATCTTGGATACTTGTAAATGTATAATGTATTTGAATTATTTCTTGTGTTTTTTAATTTTTATGATCGTTTAAAAAATGCATTTATATTTCGTAAAATGTCGTTACATTTAAAATGTCTGCTCATGGAAAATCATATTGTTGTATTTGCATAATTTAAATGCTTATTAAAACGTTTGTATATATGGTTAATTTAAAACCGGTGTGCTTAATTAAAACTTTTAAGCTTATTCGAGTATAAAAAATAAATATGATATTATTTTCCTTCTTCGCGTCGTTCTCGCTAATATAACGGATTGATTAAATTGTTTTTGTTTTGTACACATAAATTAGGATGTAAATTAAAAAGTGTCTTAAAATTAAGTTTATTCCGTTACCTAAACATAAATTATTTATCTTTCAATATACCTTTGAAGTGTAAAGGTATTGTATACGGCTTAAAGCGAGTTTAGGGTTTATTTGGAAAGTTATACTCTGTTACTTATATCGAACTCTGTTCAAAGTATTACTAACAAATATTGTGAACAGTTATAAAATAATTATTTGACGCGATTAGAGCGTATGATGAATTAAATCGTTTCCGTCGTGATTTCATAATAATAACGATAATAACCGTGTGAGATGAAAAAAATTTGACGACCGCATAGTTTTTTACCGTACCAGAATCAGAAAAACACAAATAACCACATTAAATATATATGTATAAGGAAGGATAGAAAGGGACAAGCAACAAAAAAATGATATACGACGTGTTCGTAAAATGTTTGTTTAATTTTAAAACTTTACCATATCACAGATGCCACATCAAAACGTCGGAGAGAGGTGTCTCGACGCGCCCGGTGATGGTGAAATGAAAAAAGTTCTAAGCGCGTTTTATTATTGTATACGTTCTCTTTTTGTACAAAATTAATTTTAATTTTAACAATTTCCGAGCGAAAAAAAATCATTAAAACCGCTTTAGTCTCTTCTCCTCCATGTCTCTACGTCCCTGTTACTCTTTATACCTCGCATGTTCACCGGCTGCTGGTGGTGGTGGTGATGGTGGTAGTGGTGGCAGTGGCGGTGGTGGGAGAAGTGAGAAGTGGTGTGCAGGGGCTTCATTTTATTTTTCTGTTAACCTTTCTTTTTAACCGTACTAATTAAATCGGCGGTAGCAGTGACGGTGGGAGAGAAAAAAAGAGAAATAATTAAAGTATATAATTTCCTTCTCTCCCCGGGCTCTCTCGGATTATTAAAAAAAAAAAACCGACAAAGAATAATACGGTTTAGAAAATGTTTTTCCACGTTTTACCCCTTCGGATCCCAACCCTGCGAGACAAGTGAGGGGGATGAAAAAAAGAAATAAAGAAAGGTAATTAGTTAAAAACTAAGATTAATTACGTCCACGTCGTGACATTCGTTTGCTGCTGCGGGAGCAACGCGACTACGGAATCCATTTCGTACCCGGATTGTCCGGCTCCTAAGGGCAGTATAAAACCCCTCGGAAGCTTAATGGAAAGCCACTATTACGAGCAGGACAGAAATCCTTTTTCTTTTTAACATAATTATATTATTTTTATTTATTTATTTTAAACGAAGAAAGGGGAGGAAAAATCGCACCGAGACTTATTTTGAAAGAGATATCTCGATCAAAGTGCAATAAAAAGCGATTCCATTAACTATATATATAGATATATGCGCTTTCCGTGGCCAGCGAGATTTTATTATTGGAGGAATCCACCGCGGTAAGTGGATTATTATGTTGCCGGCATCAAAATGCCACACGCTCATAATACGAAAAGACCTTGTAATATTTTAGAATAAATAAATAAAATTAATTTTTTTTCTTTTTTACATTTTAAAATGCTTTTAGAGACGTCTTATCGATTGATCAAAGTTTTTTCATTTTATTTAATTCAATTTTTTTTTTACCGATTCAGCTTACACTCTTTGCTTTCCCTACGAGGAGACCCACTCACTTAAGTGGTCGTACATTCTTCCCGCCGTTTGAATGCATTTTGTATGCTTTTTATGATGCTTTATGACAATCGTCGAATAACCTAATACACGGATGAAATGCGTCACATTATTCAAAAGCGCATGGCATTTTTTTTCTTTTATTGTGATTGTATTATTCAAGTGTATTATAAATCATTTTCTTATACTTTACTGTATACCGGCCACCTAATATACTCGAACATGCTCTTATAGATGTACGCAGTAATAATATTACGTATGCTTGTAAGTTATCAAACACTTATTTAACAAAAATAATTATTTGTCATGTTTATTTTACTTGTTACGTACTTAAGTGATATTACTGCACTAATCGCATTGAAAATTATATAGTCAATACACGTTAACGTTATTACTACGTGTACATAATATTATTGTGCGTATAACGTACCCATGTGGGTACATTATACGCGTTGATGTAGACAATTTGTAATGAATATTATCGATATGTAATACAATTACTTTTTTTAGTATAAAAATAATGTATAATAACTAATAAGTATGTACTCCCCTCGACGTCGATTACACTTGAATAATATTACCACGTTGATCGGATCTAAAATTACCCACACATAAGACGACTGTAGTTGTAAATAAATTCACTATTGTAAAATAATTTACCGGTAATTTGAATTTTTTTTCTGTAATCGATGAAACCGTGCCGCGGTATACTATGTATGTATGTATAGACGGCGAGTATGGGAGTGGGGAGAAAATGTGGGGAAAAGTCCATTGTAAAACAGCTTTAAGTATTGTCGTGTCTCGTAGGATGTAGTAGTAGTGAAGAAAGCGGAACTTTCATTAAGTCGATTTTGGGATTAAATTGATGGACGGTCGAATGGGTGGAGGGAAGTGGCGAGTAAAATTCATTAAAGTCTGGAGGATGATGTTCGTCGGGCGCGGGAATCGGATGGTATATATATATGTATATATCTATACAAATTAAATGAAATTTAAATGAAATAAGTTTAGAGCATCGTTTATGAGAAGTTTAAAATTAAGTTTGAAAAGACGGATGATGCATAATGTAATGGCGTGCAGCGTGTAAGAGAAGGTGGCGGTGGGTGAGCCGCTGTTTTACAAGCGCAGTTCATGGTATTAATTTTTATTAAAAAATAAAAATTAGCCGGCACGTAATTAAAGAGCCCAGACGAAACCTCTACATTGTGTACTTTAATTTGCAATATTTTGTTCGGCAAATTTCAAACAATGTAACTATACGCTACTTTGATATTGACAGGATATACCGTCGTTTTTTCCTCTTCATTAGTTACAACAACATCGCTGCAAAACAAATTTTCAATTGCAATTGTTTATTTTTCCTTTTTTATTTGTAAGCTAATCGTTTGGAATAAATGCAATTTTTTTATGTTTTACGTTACCATTATACAATTTATTATGCTTTGTGAAATACGGTTATTAAATTATAAAAAAAAAATAAATATAATTATAAATATTATTTGCTATAAAAACGTCAAGCAACACTTTAAATTAGTTAACATATTTTCGAAAACATAAACTACACGTGGCGATTAAATCGATCTTGCACCTATATATAAGAAATTCGTATTCCCATACGACATACATTATACTATTGGGTGAGTGAATTGAATAAGTTTAATCAATAAAAACCGTCATCAACAACAGTAATGAGATGTATACATTCCACTACTTACATAATTAGTTTTTACAAAAGTTTTGCAAACGGACTTAGTCTACCGCAATAATTCCCTGATAATTCCGTATCAATAATTTATTAATTAAAACAACTGTATACCCGACTTAAAAATTATTATTTTTCTATCTACAAGAACAATAATTTGACGTATTTTTTCAAACTCCGCCGGACGCTTTGGTTCTATATATAAACCTATTTACTGCCTCTTTATAATATTATGATATAATGATATTCGCTTGGTTAGCGTATTATTGTTAGTGTTTAATACTTCTTAAGCCGTATGATTTTACAAAGATTTTAACACTATCTTTCCCGTTGTCCTTTATAGAACATCAACAAACAAACGGCGGCGTGGTGACCAACGGCGGTACAGTGACCGCGACCACGTTAACGGGTCTGAACGGCAGCACGGCGATGATAGCCAGGGAGTGCGCCAACTGCGGCAAACGCATAACCGAACGGTTCCTGCTCAAGGCTTTGGACCTGTTCTGGCACGAGGACTGTCTGAAATGCGGCTGCTGCGATTGTCGGCTGGGCGAAGTCGGATCCACGTTGTACACCAAAGCCAACCTGATACTTTGCAAAAGAGACTACCTCAGGTAAGGAAACCGATGGCCTCAGTCATTTGTCAATCAATTATGGGTTGTGAAATTTAAACAGACCCGACTCGAGCTGGCACACATAGTCGTCCGAATCTGAGTTATTAAATAATTGGAAGAGACTCGCGCGCGATCCCGATGCGTATAGGTGATCCCCGCCGGTTTTGCGACTCGAAATTGTTTTCCTTCTGATATTAATTCCTTTCGATGGGTATCGGGTCGTTCTGCAGCAAAGCGTTGTGAATTATTTTCGGGGCTGATTAATCAGGAATTTCCGTAAACGACTGTAAATGAAAAATGTAATGTCTTGTCCCTGTCCACGATGTATACATTATTATACAAACGGACAGGGGTATATTATTATACTTACTATATGTATATACTATAAAAGCTTTACGGTGCAGCAACGTAGTCGTATTGTTGTGTCGTTGTTTTTCTGTATATACGTATACGGTGGGTAGGGTAAATGGTGAAATGGGAGGACCAGGAGATGACGACGTTGGTGAAGGGAAAGGGTTTAATTAGCGCGAATGCCGAATTATCAGCAATGGAAATAAAATAAAAATAAGTCTAGAGGATCGCGTCGAATGGGCGCCGAGTGCGTGGGAGGAGAGACACCTATTCCGGATTCAATTAAATCCGTTTATGAAAGTGATCGCAGAGAGTGGAAATTACGATGGTGGGGGGAGAGGGGGAATTTTCTCTCTCACACACTCGCTCACTCACTGTCTCTCTCTCCATAGCCCGTCGGCGGCTGTTGAATTTAATTAAAACCGTATGTCGGCCAAAACGCCGCTGCTTGGCCCGGCACAAAAGTCAACTCTCTGCCGCTGACGGAAAACACAATCTGCACGTATATATAAGCACACACACACACACACACATATTAACCAGTCAAGTTAATATATATATATATATATATATATTTAGAAATGGGGCAGGCTGACTGTTTTACTATTATTATACATACATACTACTACCCCTTTAACTATACTCGCACACACAGATGCCTGATACGCACCCCTCGGCGTGTGGACGAGACTTCGTCATTCGGCAAACTTTTCTCTCTAATGAATGGACACGGACAATGTGTCGTCGTCGTCGCGTTTGGGCGACCGAATTAATTTGATGAACGAATATCACGTGACCGTCCCTCACGACAAGAGTATAATAATAAGACCTCCCGAATAAAACCTTCCGGAGATTGATTCATTTTTCTATTATTCATACTATTATAGGATGTTATTCGTCATATAATTTTTTTATCGTTTGATAATCAAATGTTAATACGGTGTAATTTTATCATTTTTATCAACACATAATACTATAACAGTCAACAGGAAACGCGAACAATCGTCGAAATTATTTATATTTTTTATTTATTTATGCGCCCGTATACATGCATATAATTACAAATTAGAATTTTCTATTGTCGAACGTGCATAATAATGAGCAAAAACGTGTAGTATGCAATGTAATATGCATTGTTCTAGCTGTTCTTTTAACATCGAAATACAATTTCTGTTTCTTTTTTTGTTGTTATTGAAAAAATAAGGTTAGGAATAATGTGATAAATTAGGTTATTGATTTTTTTTTTTACATTTTCTTCGTTTCGATATCATTTACGCTCCGTATTATAACGTGTAATGTATTATAGCTGTAGAAGCTGTTGATTTGTTATTTGCTCGGACCGGTTCAGAAATAGACTTATTTTTAAAATGTGGTATTAATGTATTGTGTGTTAAATAACGCCAAAAGACACAAAATAGACACATTTTGCTCCGAGGAACTAAAAATCTGCAGAAATTATAAACCAATTATAAGCCCTCCGTCTTTGAAATGAAGAAACTCTTAAATCGACTCAGCAGTTGAAAAAAATTTGTTTTAAAGTAGAACCAATGCAACAACAACGACGACGACGCGATATTATACTGGTACTATTTATATTATATATACAGAATATGTTTTATGTACATTATATATTTGTGCATATTATATCTGATTATCTGTGTATAGATTATAACGAGATAATACTCGCCAGAGGCGTCGACGCACGCGGTCGGTCATGCTCGTGTTTATCAAAATCAAAAACGCATCTCGTTTTGGCGTCCCGTAGATTAGGTATAACGCGAACATCTGTTGTGCAAAGTGTTCTCGTATACCTATATAACGTACCATATAGATGTATAGTGCATATTATATTATAGTAGTGTATTATAGGACTGTATAAAATATTATACTGTTATTAAAATATTCTGTGCCGGGCCAGAAAGAAGGTGTACCAGTACACACACAAACACGCGTTACGCTCGCGTCTAATAATTAAACGTCAAAAATCCATTAAATCGGTTTATCAGTGTTATAACTTATGATGTACCTACATACTATTATGGGTACCTCGTACCTACACGCATAATATATTATAATATGGACGCCGAGAAAACCAACGGTTATATTTATATATATATACACAATATAGCCGATATTATAATTATTATTATATTATTCGAACAAAATTTTATCCTAAATTTATATACCCATCCCGTTTTCTCGCACTCACCCCCGACCAGCCACACCGGGGTTTTGAACAACGGACACACACACTCGCGTAGGTATTAAAGAGTCTCCAAGAGTGTGTGCGTTTTATTTTACACGGACAAAACCCGCCGCCGTCGCACTTAATCGCCGACACGATATTATAATATTCATGTAAGGCTAATGTAATTTTCAGGTTATTCGGAGCGACCGGCAATTGCGCGGCGTGCAACAAGGTAATACCGGCGTTCGAGATGGTGATGAGGGCCAAAAACAACGTCTACCACTTAGAGTGTTTCGCGTGTCAACAGTGTAATCATAGGTAAAAAAAAAAAAAAAAACACCTAACAATAATAAATTATAAATATACGTACGCGCGTCGTGTATAATGTACGTAATAATATATAATATTATCGCGTATATTATACACGATTTAAAATGTAAGCCGTGTACATATTGCGTTATTACATTATATGTGACACTCGCGGTTCTAACGCGTCTGCCCGCTCGTACATCGGGCGTGTCGAGACGATACGAAACGTTTTGCTGCACGTCATTAATTACGCGCACACTAAATATAATATATATTAGTAACGTTCACGTGGTCGTGTGTCTGCAGGTTTTGCGTGGGCGATCGTTTCTACCTGTGCGAGAACAAGATCCTGTGCGAATACGACTACGAGGAACGGCTGGTGTTCGCCAACATGGCCACGTACAACTCGTCCAGTCTGGCGCACATAAGAAGGCAAGTCAGTAGATTGCAGGTAGGACATTCGATGGGGCAGCCCTATACTCGCACCACACCGTAACACAATACACACACACACACACACACACACACACACACACACGCAC